ACAAGTGAACCATAACTTCCTTGGTGCTAATTTTACCATACTTTCCTGTTCTATTCGTCCCTGTCACGTCTGTTCCCATCAACAAGTCTGCTTAGTTTGCAAGTTTACTTATTTCCTGTCATTGCCCTACAGGTCACATTTTAGCTAACTTGGCTTTATTAAATGCAATCAAAAGTAACAACAAGTCTGCTTAGTTTGCAAGTTTACTTATTTCCTGTCATTGCCCTACAGGTCACATTTTAGCTAACTTGGCTTTATTAAATGCAATCAAAAGTAACATTAAAACATATAGAAGGCTACTAATAATTTTCCTCTCACATGAGTAAATTGGTTAGAAAACCAAGGAATTGAAGGGATGTGAGATCTAGTGGTTTTAACATTATTTCCAGAATTCTCCATTTCAGTTTCCACTAGTAGAATTGCCACCTGTAGCATGTCATGTTCTTGAACATTTCCTAGTGTGCTAGTTAATCTTTCCTGTCCCTCCATTACAGCATCTTTCTATTGGTGGTGCAGCAGCTCTTCCAAAGGAATCTCAGTGGCCCATTTCCTAGATTTGGGATTATTCTCAACATCCTGAAGCCAAATAATACAACTATTACATGTTGTCCTGGGCAACAACTTCAGGACATCACAAAAATATTAATATATTCTTGCTGCAATATATTCAGGTTGAAATTCTATCCAGATTTACCAGGGAGTATGTCCCACTGAACACATTCAGGTTTACTTCTGAACAGACACATAGCGATTAGATCATTAGAATGTAAAAATAACAGTAAGAAATTAAACAAAGAGCAGCTTTAGTGTGTTTAGTTTTAAGAGAGAACAAAGTTATCACATCCTTAGCATGTTTAGAAAAGAGAAATTTCAGCATATGCAACTTTTCTTAATCTTGCATGGCGATCTGAATCTGTCAAAATGACCTCTTCCTGAGAAATATTAAACAGCACAATGTCCTGAGCAATTCTGCACTGAGTTATACAACCTCGTTTTAAGCAAGAAAACCAGGAAGAAAAATAATGCATAAGTTGTCATTTCAGTTACATTTTTTCTGTGAGACAACAGCACCTCACCATACTTTTTTATCATGCAACAGGACAACATATCTACATTGAAATAAACTGCAAGTAAATCAGCCATTTACTTACATATTACTTATTCTATTTTCAATAAAAAAAGTGAAGGATTAAAAATGTAATGATCAGTTAAAACATCTTAACTGTAACTAACAAATTTTTGTTTTGATTTTGAGATATCTGCATGTACACTTAAAATGCAAAG